ATTTTTTAATTACTTGATTTAATTCATATGAAAAACAAGTTAATATGGCAAAATCAACCTGATTACATTGGCTTATACAAACTAAAGTAATTTATAAGAGTCAGATCAGTAAGAAACAGCTCATTAAAGGAAAAGTTCACCAAAAATGATGTTTCTGTCATCAATTTTTCATCCTAACTTATTTTCTGGAACACACACACATGAACAAAACAAAACAAAACAAAACAAAACAAAAATATAATAATAATAATTGGGGCAGCTGAGCTCCAAAACGACAAAAGAAAATGACCATAAAAGCATTATAAAAAGTTCCATACTATATGACTCATGTGGTATATGACTTGTGTGGTATTTCAAGTCTTCTGACATAATTTCAATAATTTTAAGTTGTTATTCACTGTAAATCTTCATATTGACAATAGATCTTCTCAGAAAAATAGTAAAGTTGTTCTAAATTATTAATTCATGAATCAGACTGAACCAGTTCTTGAACTCACTGACTCAATGATCCAGTTGCAGCAGTTCTCAGTGAATAATGACTTTAATTTCAGCCAAATTACTTCAAGATTTAGAATATGGTGCATGAGTTTTATGAACTACTTTTATGGTGCTTTTGCATTCTTTTTGAAGCTTGACATCCTCAGTTCTACAGAGTGGCCAGGATATTCTTCAAAAACCTGCCTAAACCTTGTATTTCACTGAAGAATCCAAGTCATACTGGTTTGGAATAGTGAAAAATCTAAATGTTATGTCTCACTCCATTGGGAAAAGCATCTCTTGTGAAGATAGGCCAGGTCTTCCACTTGGTGTCATGGCGGAAGGTCTGATGGACATGCTCTCCAAGTCCATAAATATTGTGAGAGGGGAGTTTAGCCGAGAGCTGAAGGTACTGATCAGCAAAAACCAGTGGCCCAAAGGTTGTGTCAAACCTGACAGAGCAAGAGAGGAAGAGATGGTGTAGTTTTACTCACAGTTCAGTTTGTGGGTGAATGTCATGAAACCTGTCAAGAACATATACACTCACCAATAGATTCACCCTTCAAGTATGTCTTCAAATACAGAGGGGTGAAAGGGGTGCATGAAAATGCACACCCAAACCAAATGAAAACAGAGTAAATGACAAACACTGATAGATGGGTCATCTAAAGATCATTTTCTGTAACAAGGAAAACAACTTCCTATTGCCAAAACCTAAACTGATAGCTAAGAATCATACTGTGACGTGTGCATCTTCTTATCTAAAACTCTACTAGGAGTTTTAAAAATAACATCATACAGATAAGATGAATGAGCTTATAACGAACATACACTCCTTCTGATATATCAATCCATGCTGAAACCTGTATATGAATCATGCATTCCCATGATTAAAAACATAATTATTAGGCTTTATCAGATAAAAGATTACTGAATCATTGATTGTTTTGCAATCCACATACAGACGTGACTATGGTCAAAAAAGAGAACCAAAAACAGTTTTCATAAAAATGCTCAATTTCTGTACTGGCAAATCGCTGTATTCTTTGGAAATAAGATCTATTTCTTATGGGGCAATCTTGCTGTTGAAAGCTGTTTTAATAAGGACAACATTTCAAGTGGAATCAGCATCTAATTCGGATCCATTTTTTTTTTTTATTATTATTTTTGATGTACGTATAAGGTCTGTTTCACACATCTTGCATCTGCAGTGTTTGAGCATTGCAACAGCCATCATACAGGTAGCATATCTTCAGCGTAAATCAAAACTGCTTTATAATGGAGATCAAGTGTTACTACATTGAGTATGTCTTTTGATAACGGGCACAAGGTCCAGGGTTAACAGCTGATAACTGTTAAACTTTTTTTGTGAATTACCCATTTTTAATGGTTTTACCAATTTTTCATAGATGTCTTTGTTAAAACAATGGGTAAGTAGTAATTATTAAGTAGTAAACACTTCCAAAGTAAATCAGAGTACCTGTTGAAATTGTTTTTAAGTGATTTAATTAAAACTTTGAAGTTTTAACTATTTTGATGAGTTCTGTTGACATAATGTTTAATGCTATTATCTTTGACATATAAATGAGCCCATTATGTTGAAGTATTGTGCTGAAGAGATTGGTAAACACTACATTGACTCTATTAGGAATGACTGCACTAATGCCAATGACAATATCTTACATGTTTATTAAATTTATATGCAAAATAAGTTACAATTAGGATGTGCTAGGATAGTTATTGATATTAAACAGGTAAGATTTATTAGGGCCACAACTCAATTAGTTGGAACAACTTCATTTTTTTTTGAGCAATCAAGCTTAAAAATGTGTGTTTATGCTACACATTAAGTTTACACTCTAACTCATTGTAGTTTGTTGGTTGAACATAATTTCATCATAAAAAGATGCCAACTGTAACTGGGACAAAATGTTATTTTTTAGAGTTTATATGCATCCAATATGCAGTGTCGCTCTGATTTATTTCATATGTATTTAAAAAGGTCACTGAAATTAATATACATTGCAACACAGATGCAACATGCATGAAGCACGCCTGATAATCACTGTGACTTAAAAATGATCAAATTCAACTTGAACATGTCTAAGGACTAGAAATCAGGACTTATTCTTAACCTGCCTGTCATTTTTTAACAGTGCACAAATACACACAAATGACGGCAGACAATAACAAAAGAAGAAAAAAAGCAATTTCCATCAATAGACAGCGAGACAAAGACCAGCTTCTTTACAAAAAGCTTGTTTGCATTGCTTCGGGCTTCTTTCAGACCTCGCAGGATTCCCTCGTTCTATTCATGCCTATAATTTCTGTCTTTTTGGTGTTGTGATTGCTCTTCATTTAGTCAAAGAAACACTTGTGCGGCATTGTTAGCAATGCACCGAGCTCACAAAGAGTCAACATATGATCTGTGTGTGAAAAGAAAGAGAAAAGACGAAAAGCTCCCCACTCACAGGAGTTTTTCAGGAGATGTTGTTCTCCAAACTTTCAGCCCAAAGGGTTTCTGGATCAGCTCCAATCTATATTTTAGTGGTCCGTTGGGAGTGTCGGAAAGCGACTGCACGTGCTCATGAGGAACCTCAAACCTGGCTTGATTGGCGTCAGTGATCTGGTAACAAAGACAACATTGCACAGCATTATAGATGTGTTTACATTGATACATATCCTCGGCTATTTGTGTCAATTTGTAAACAGACCTTAAATCGAAGACGGTTTTCTGTCTGCATTTCAGCGTAGAAGGTCAACTCTTTAATATCAGCTCCAAATAGAGATGGAGCATCCATTCTTGTCAGCTTAGCCTCAATATCTGCAGCAAAACAAACATTTTCCTTGAGGTCTTGGGGGACTGTTTGCTCTACTTGCTACATGGTCAATTACAATTTATTTAAGTAGATTTCAACATTTTCTGAAGGAGCCCCTCATTCAATATCTATGGGATTTAATAAGTAACAGCAATGAAACAAAAGCAAATTTCTAATTAAAAACACTCCAAACGATTTGAGATATAATTTATGTCAAACATTTACAAATTATATAAGAAGATTATTGAAATCCCCAACCCTTACCATGAGCAGTAATAGCAAACATGGCTAGAGATATTTATTTAAATACAATTTATCTTTTTTATCTATCTTTACCAAAAAACCTGGGTCAGTAGAGTTTGTTTCAAACAATTTCACCATATAATAGCATCATGAAAAGAGATGGTTCCACTGATATAACCTTGCTCAAGGGTACAATGGTGATATCTTTTGGCGATACACCACTCCCAACTTTTAAATAATCTCTGAATAACTGGCTCATGACAAAAGAGGTAATACAAAGACTTATCTAAAAGCCAATGGTACGTATCATAATGTTTTATTACGGCATCATCTCGGTTCAGGCTGAACTCACGTGTGCTGTCTGGCTTGCTTTCGCTGACCACGCTGTAGCCGTGGTTTTTGGAGAAGAAGCACCAGGGGACATTAGTCTCATTCAGGGGGCTCCAGCAGCAAGCTCTTTCCAAACATTTTTGCTGTAAGGACAAATAGGAAGAATTAGCTAAGCATGCTAGGAGTTTGTATGGAATGTTGGTCATATCCACTACAGTTTACCTGAGAAGCCCCAGCATCCGGAAAACAGTCCACTCTCTCTCCCTCTGAAATGTTGGGACATTCCGGGATGATGTCTGGATCTGATCCGGAATCTGAAGTTGGGGACAAATGGACAAATATAGCAAATGACCATTTTGATATACAGTACTTTAACATATTTTTAAGCAACTCCAAATCATTACAATAAAGTTTGTGGCCAATGAGATTTCTAAAGGTTTTATTAAATCTCTTATGTTCACCAAAGCTGCATTTACCTGATCCAAAAAAAATATATATATATATATTGTAAAACAGTATTAGAATTCAAAATAGTTTCAATTAAAATTTTTGCAAAGTTAAATATTAATCAACCATTACTCCCATCTTCAATGTCACGTGATCCTTCAGAAATCATTCTAATATGCTGATTTGCTGCTCAAGAAACATTTCTGATTATTATCAATGTTGAAAACAGTTGTGTTGCTTCATATTTTGTGGAAACCATATTGCTGGATTATTTGATGAACAGAAAGGTCAAAAGAACAGCATTTATTTGACAACATATACAGTATATATATATATATA